CCGGAAGCACCAGAGGAGGGTGGCCAGGTCCCCTCGTGGCTGGCACTGCTGCCCGCTGCATGACAGGCCTCTCTCAGGAAGGAGAGCTGACAACACACCTGGTGGACAGCGAGGTCCCTGGGTGCCTGAGGCCATTACAGCATTCTGCTGGTTTAAGGTGCCAACTCTGACCCATCACAGAGGATCAATTTTCTTTTTTTTTTTTTTTTTTGAGTTGGAGTCTCACTCTGTCACCCAGACTGGAGTGCAGTGGCCACTCCCGGCCACCGCAGCCTCAACCTGCTGGGCTCCGGTGATCCTTCCGCCTCAGCCTTCCAAGTAGCCGGAATTACAGGCACGCGCTACCACGCCTGGCTGAATTTTTAATTTATTGTAGAGATGAGGTCTTGCTGCCCAGGCGGGTCTCGAACCCACGGGCTCAGGCAATCCACTCACCTCAGCCTCCCAAAGGCACGGGATAATAAGCTGAGCCACCGAGCCCGGCTGGATCAATTTTCTATGATGGTCACTGCACAGAAATTTCCTCGACTTGGAGACTGAACACTAGTGAGCTGAACTGAAACTGAGCTCTATGACGTCTTGATGACTGAAGCCTGTGGAAGGGAGTCAGTGTGGTTTTTGTGCAGACATCTTGCCAGCTGTGAAATTCTCTGGAGATTTTGACATGTGAGAAGGATAAACTTATTTCCTCTTTCTTGTTGAATATAAATGATTCAAACTTTTCATTGACATATTCTGTGGAAAACTTTTGGAGCATGGAATGTGTGGGTTTTTCAGTACGTAAGCCATGTTGTAGCTGACGCTGGGGTGAGACACGCAGTTGATGGGGTTGGACTGTAATAGGACATTGCAATGGCCATGTTCGCAGTTTTCTAAGGCAATGAACCCTACTGGTAATGTCAATATTGAATGAAATAATCCAAAGGATCTTGTTTAGCAACTGTTTACATTTTCAAAAGGATAGTTAGGCATTTAAGTGGTTTCACTAACAAATTGTGCCATAGAGGGCAGGGATAAGTTGTTTTCAGAATGCTACTTTTTGATGTCATTTTCTAGTAGATGAGTAATGACAAGGTCATAGCAAAATATTTTAGTGGATCTTGGTTGGTTCATTCCTCGCTGTGACTGCCTGCTTCCCACATGTGCTGGTGATGGAGCATTGAATGGACACGCCCCTCCCTTCTGGAAGTGGCCTTCCTCCGGCAGGGATTGTTCCATCCATCAGCTTGAAGCTGCAGGGAGACCAGGGATCTGAGGGGACCGCAGGAACACAGGATTTGTTGGAGGTGCGGGTAGAGGGGCTGGGGGGCCTCATGTGGGTTTTATTATTCTATACTTCTGCTTGGCCAGTGGCCCCTCACTGCCTGGTCCCCGGCCCCTGCTCTCTGAGGCTCCACAGAGGAGGCAGCCCGGGACTTTTCAGGTCTGTCCAGAAGCCATGGTGGCGGTTACTGTCCCATGTCTGTCTGCTCCGTCAGTTGTCATCAGCCCTCACACTCCTGCTCCTGGGCAGATTTGGAGTGATGCGGTGCCATGCGGTGACTTGTAGGGCCAGTGGGGCTTGGCTAGAGTCTTCCGCCGGTCTCTAAGAAATGCCACCGGCCAGTCCACAGCAGTGTCCCTTCTGTTCTGAGAAGGCAAAACAAAATATTCTTGGCTCTTACATGTATCTAATATTTGTTACAGTGGTTGCTAACTTTTAAGTCCAACTTATTGTGGATTTCAGATAGAGGTACTTATTGGCATATTAATTGGACACAGCATGGAAATCAGTAAATCTCTGTGTTCCACTAGCATTACTTCTCCCTCTGGGAATGTGGGCCAGCCTGGTCTACTTATTACTCTCTCCTGACTTAGGGGAGGAGTGCAGCTCCCCCCACCACAAGTGAAGAGAGAAAACAGATACTGTATTACACCGATATGTCTTGTCTAATGCAGCTGCAACAGTGTTACCATCCTGGAGTGTGGAAGATGTTCTCTCTTGGGGGGTGAACCTGAAGGTTCCACCTGAAGGTCATGAATGCGACTGCACCAGTCCTGGGAAGCTACTGACAGTCGCTGCTGTTTCAGACACCCAAGACTCAAAAGTAGACAGTACGTTCTGTCTGCAAGTGGAGAGCCAGAGTGACATTTGGGCAAATTGAAATGCCCTGTTTATAAGATCTTTTTTTTTTTTTGAGTTGGAGTCTCACTCT